CCAAGAATTTCTTGAAGAAACCCCCTAGGATTTAAAGCATTAACTTTATAGTTAGGAGGTTAGTGGGAACACTTCATAAAATCTTCCAAAGCTAAATTAGTCACTGAATCTTCAAACCTTCCAGAGTTATGGATGCATGAAATAACCTGTAGACTAACTGCTACATTCTAAAAATTATAGTCTACCAGATATGGTGATACAGTGGCAGATACTTTAAAAATATCACTCTAAAAAGACCCCTAGAATACTAACTCATAGGTTCTACAGATAAGTCACGGAAAGAGCCTAATCAGATTAAGTTAAATTAAAAGCTTTAAGAAGAAAAGAGTTAAATGTAGATAGGGTGTACAAAACCAGCTGCTTGTCTCAAAATTATTAAGAAAAATTAGAATGGATAAGAGGAAGTAATTATGTAACGCTCAGCTATATATCATTTTATTTTGTAACTGATGAAAAAATGTCAAGCAAAAAAGCGTAGCACTTTTCCTGCCATATATATATAAAATTCTACGTTCTTTTCTAAAGACTATAGACTTTTTATAATAATGTAATAAAAAGTCAGATTTTCCCTTCACCCAACTATGCTACATCTAGCTTTTATCTCCAGTATTTGTATCCAGTATTTATCTGTTCATAATGGCACTTGCTTGTCGTTACTTTATGAAATTACCTGAATATAACTTCTTTTAAGTATATGCTTTCATTGGTTATTTCATAGTGATCTAGTAAGCTTCACAATGTTTTAGTAAGATATGTAAGATATCTTACTAAAGACATAATACTGCAGATGCTTTTCAGTGTGATGACACAGTGCTTGGTGATGAAGCAGCTAATAAGAGTTAACCTTCATTATAAATGTTTACTTTGCATTTCATAAATATTTCTCATCTTCAGAAAGCATAACCTTGACTTCATTAAATCTCACAAAAACTCCGTAAGGTAGTTACTAGTCTATTAATAATGAGAATATGCCAAATATTCTACAGAAAAAGTAAATTACATTGTTACTTAATTGTACAGAAATCATCAGAACATTGTCTAGTATGTAAGAATATGATGTGCAATAACTGCTTTGCGAAAAGTATTTCCCAAAACATAAAATCATGTACTATAGAATTCATTCAGGGAAATGCACAGGAAGGACAAACAGTAGTGACTGAGTTGCTCATGTGAAAGAACAGAAAAAACACATAGGACTCAATGTGAAAAATACTGGAAGCCACATCACTGTTTAGAGACCTCTCAGCATATTAGAAAAAGAATATTTTTTACAGTTCTAATTGCTTCTCACACATGAATTTTTTTTCACAGTTACAACATAGTTATATATTTACTATAAACTCTTTCCTGTTTGTAACTCATCTGGTTTTCTATGTATCATTTGTATTTAGTGATGACTATAGGTAAAAGCAATTGTTACTTTGTTCTGAGAATAATTAAAAAAGGCAGCCAAGGTTTTATTTCGTCTACTGACCACCTGATTCTGGTCTGTCAGGACACATAGCAAAAACATTAGAGAGTCTTCTGATGAGCTGATCTGTAAACAGCAGCAAAACAGCTGTTTAGCAGTAATCTCTGTACCTATAGAGATCTTATTGTTTACGAATCTGAAATTCAAGGCAAGGATTGTTTTTAGTAAAATCTTGATTTTTTTTTGCACTAGGTTGTAATTGTGCCAAACTCATTAACCTAGTTGTCATTAGATGTGCAAATTTCGACTAGGTCACATTTGATAGATATATTCATATGCATTTTGGTATATAAGCAACAGTGAGTACTGTTGTTTATTTAACAGAGGAAACTTCAATCACAGACTATAATAAAATTCCTGCTTTATGTTCTATGAGACTTTAGAAGTCTCATTTCAGGAATATATTACCAAGGGGAGATTATAAATTTAATTTATAATTTGGACTTTTGTAAGTAGCTAGTATCTAGTGAAGGTAATTAGAGATAATTGCACGCTGCCTACAAACTACTTCACTTCCAAACTCTTGTGTGTGTGTGTCCTAACTAAGACAGAAGTCAGCTATTTTATTGTACAAAAATGATTCTTACATAGTGTGAGTCCTTTGAGGATTGGCTGAAAATCAAAATAAAATGTGAGATCAAACTTGCTGGCATGTTGGTTGTTTCTCTTCTTTAGTAAGTGGAATTAGTAGAAATAATTTTTATGCATACATTCCAGCTGCCTTGACAGCTACAGTTCCACAGCAAGGCTCTCTTTATTACTAAAGCAATGCAGTGTAATCTTCAAAACACACATAATCATATATTAATTTTAACTTCCCACCTAAATGTTTAATAATCATATAGAAGCACATTATTCCACATGGTTCATGGGGCAACATGTATAAACATATATATAAATGCTACAAAGCATGTATTTATCTATTTTGGAGAAAGATAAAGAGTACATACATTTGCTATTTTAAGAGCTGAAACTACGTCTTAAAAAAAACAACACAAAAACATTAGCTGCTTTCATTTTGTACATGTATTTAATTTTATCTGGAAACTTTCTGATGTTAGGAATAGAACAACTGTAGTTTCTCATTATATTTGCTGCCAGAATCTATGCTTGGTTGCTCAACTAAAGACCTTATATTGCTAATTACTACCACATGCACATATCCCAAGCAAAGGAAAACTTATTGGTTCTGACAATCCATTCTTTCAACACTGAATTCCAAATGAAAACTTAAATTTTGGCCAAACATAACATTTCATCAATCTTGTTCTACTGACTGCAACAGCAACATCAAACAAGGGGTGATAATGGCTTTTTTCTGTGCAGTTCCCAAGCTTAGATTCTCTGATGAAAGACCCATGTGAGCAAAGGACATCTTTAAAGTACTTCATAATTAATAACTGAACCAGAAAACAATGCATAAAGTAAATTGAACAGTTTGCATTCTGATGACAGAGCTGAGTTTCAAAAAAGTTAATGGGCAGTAAAGAACAGCAGAGAAAGCACTGACAACAGAGTGAGCTAAAAACAGATAGTGCATATAAATAAAGACAAAAATAAAAGGTGACAAAATAAAATAAAGCACGCCCCAAAGCTAGCAGAAGCCTGTAATCTGGAGTTGAGCTTTTCAGGATGTGGGGTTCTGACTGAAGATCACGTCCAAATTTTGAGACATCTGAGCAATGCTGGGTACTAGTGACAATGTAGAAGGGGAGAGACTAAAACTCTATGTAAAATAGTTTTTAAGCACATTCTTCTCTGCTATAACTCCTCTGGAGCCTCAGAAACAGAAGTTTAAAGTTGTCAGACACAGGAAGTTCTGTGTTTGAAAAACTTCACTCTTCAAGAAACCAGGTATGAATACAAATATGAAACTGAGTAGGCCTCTGTCACAAATAAACATTTTTGGAAATTAAAGATAAGTACCCTATCTCAGAAATAAATTATGACATTTTGTTAATTTGCATAAGTCAATTATGATAAAAGTTTCCAACATCAGTGTTTACAGTAAAAAAGCTTCAGACATTTGAGGATATCTCAAAAAAAATATAAGTACCAAAATATTTGCAATTGTATCATCTAATTGCTTGATTATTATTGGACACGCAATAGTATAAGATATAACTAACGAAAAAAACTTTGATGTATCTAGCCAGTGACGTAAAGTAGTACTCTAGAATTAGTTCTGTGGGACATTTATACTCTTTGTGCTCCACAGAGAGGAGAAACAACTTGATAAAACCGTAATCCACATTCATAAAATTATGCATGGGTAATTTGAAAAGAATAAAGTGAAAAATATATCTTTAAGTAAGGAGAAGAACAATCAACTACATGTCTCCTTGTAGTCCCCTCTTTAAGCTATTTTTAAAGGATTGTATACAACTAGTCTTTTAGGGTAAATATATCTTTACCAGTGAAAGTCACAATAATATGCAATTAAACAAAAGATGGCAACAGTAAAGGTGACATAGAAGAGAAACTACTACATTGCCAAGCATACTGAGTCTCTTAACGGCTTTATCCTGGCATGTCTAGGTGCTGGAAATGCCAGAAAGAGCTGGTTTTAACTTGGTCAAGGAAACAAGGAGGGTTTCAATAAAAATGTAATGAGCTAATGTGGTCCAATAAAATTTAACTTTTGCTACCAGGTAAAAATAGTATTTTTTTGTGGGTTTGGTTTCTTTTCCAAACTATATTGATACTAAGCTATTACTTGCTCTTCTTAGGATAGGTTTTATATGAAGTGTGGAAGAGAATCACATTAAAAATCCTGGTCATAGATCCTAAAATCACAACTGTTTGCAATATTAAAAGTCAAAAAGAGCTGCATGAGAACTAATCTGCTGTTTGAACAAGAAACAGCACTATCAGTTTTCTGACATAGTCAGTCTAATGGAATAACTCAATCAACATAAATCTCAGATTTTGCACCCCAGTAAACCCTAGTTTTCTAGAGAACTATGCTGTTTGAAAATCGTGAATTACCACTGTCACTTAGTTAAGAGATTAAAATTAATGAGATATGATAATCTGATCCCCAAAGTGTGAAGTGACAAGTCAACCTTTTTCCAGAAGCTACGTGCGTATGCAATAGCAGCATTTTTCACAAGACACGTAAGTGTAGTCTTAGTGGTATCCAGGTTCTCTTGAAGTAGGGACAAAACCTTGTGACTTGCACCATAGCATAGCCCAGATCTCTAATTATAGTGTGACAACTCTCCAGTGGTAACACCTGAAGTCAAGGAGTACAGCCTTATAAGCTGTAAGTCAGCTATTACCACCTTCAGGGGCTCTAAAGTCACACAACCACACCTGGTCTTTTTTGACTTACTTTCTGCCTCGGGTTGAGTTAAAAGTCCCGCCGTATTTCTTCCGATTAAGGATGAGAGCAGCAATTTCTGGCACGTAGCGAGCAAACATTGCCTACATGCATGAAACAAAAACAAAAAAAAAAAAAAAAAAAGAAAATGGCATGCAGAGAGTGTTCTACTGCAGCAGAGGCAGCAGAGCCTCTTGGGATACTTACTTTCTTCCACTAACCGCACTATAGGAACCACCATATTTCTTGCGGTTTCCTATTAACTCTATGATTTCAGGGACGTAGCTGGCAAACATGGCCTAAGAAGAAGATAGGAGACAGAAGAAAAGACTAAAAAGAGAGGCCAAAGAAAGGGGGATGATGAATATTTTCAGAAGATATATATTAAGATCTGAAAATGCAAAAGAATTAGATCTATGCAGTTGTTTAAAAAGAAAATTTAAAAAACGTAAAAGTTCTCATCAAGCAAAACAAGAGGACTCAATGTAAAAGTTTGTCTTGGAGAAGGTGCACACCTTATAAATTAAGAAAATGGTCAAAAGACAAAAAATAGGTACACAAAACAAAACAAAACCAAAAATAATCCAAACTGGTATCTAATCATAAAAACCAGTTATATCGAAGTCTTTCTGAAGAGGGGAAGGGAAAAAACTATCCAAGCTCTACTGCAGAAAAACAAAACCAGATATTATCATTACCATTACATTTCTATTTTAAAGACAGGCTTATTTCCCCCATTATTGGGATTCAAGAGAAGAAAACAAAATTAAATCAGGGGTTATTCCCCTTGTTAAGAAAAAAAAAAGTCAACCCCCGCCTGAAAAAAAAAAAACAAAAAACAACTTTTCCAAAAGTTCATGTTTTTAAAAGGTTTGGAATAACGTGAGAGAAAAAAAGGTTTTGAGGAGAAAATAAAAATTATTCTGCCATGTTTAGTCCAACAAACATCTTCCTTGTGGCTGGATACTTCGAAGAGCTACTGCCGGTTGACATGGTCTTTGTCTTCATATGGCAATAAACATAGATGGGAATGCATATATTTATGCCCATATATATGTATCTTTGTGTCTCTCATATATGGCATTCATAACATTAGATATATACATATCACCTCTAAGATGTATGTATATGTGAAATCAATATATGAGAGTAAGGTAACAATATACATATGCATGTATGTGCACAATATATATTTTAAAATATCCATAATGCACTTACCTTACACAGTGTAAATATGAAAATAAACTTTGCTGGTTTAGAAAATAACATTGCAATAGTCCTATATTACTGAGACTGTTAAATAGAAAAGTTGACATCAGACAATTAGTAACTTTGGTGCTATGCACATGCAGGACAAAGAACACGAGAACTTGCTGAAAAGGATAATGTTTATAGCTATGTGATAAATTGCAAGTTAAAATTGTGCTACATGACATGAAAGGATGTTTGAAATTAAAGAGAATGTGGTTTGCCATCATCTGGATCAGGCAAGCTGCTCTCTAAGGCAGTCCAAAGCCACAGTGTTTGTTGGAATTCTGGGAAGGAACACAGAAGGGTGGATGGGTAGGACTTCTGAAACCGCAAAATGCCTTTAACTATTATTAATAGCAGCATCAAAAAAATTTACTGGTCAATCACTAAAGGACTACAAATAACATTATAAGTTTAAATATTAAGGCACTTCATGTATTCACATGTATTACTCATTCAGATAGATTACAGAAATTCTGAGTCTACTGAACTGGATTAATTTGACATGCTTTTCCAAAATATTTATCTATAGAAAAAAAAAAGGGGGGGGGGGGGGAGGGGTATTTTAAACATATTTAAATGTTTTCTAATTAAAGTCACTAATTCAGATATTATTTCATTAATTACAACATTGAGATACACAGGATTGAGTATTAAGGTAACTGGAATAATAATAATTACAAAAAAGAGTTTTTACCAATCCCCCAAGGATGAAGAAGACCATAAAAAGGCGACCAAGAGTTGTTTTTGCATAAACATCTCCATAGCCAACAGTGGACATTGTAACCATCAGTAAGTAAACACATTCCCAATATGTTAGCGGCTGATTATTTTGGAAATTTTCCCATGGATCCCCTGAGTTCTCCACCTAAAATGTACAAGAAAACATGCAATGAATTAATAGAGTTATACCACAAATTAACTCTACTGATATATGTGTGTGCATACGCTTATATATATAATGAAATTTGGCATATAGTATAAATTCTGGATCCATTCCTGTGATTTATTTTGAACAAATATAAAACCTAACTTGTCCAGTTACAGCATTACGGTTCTTTTGCCAATACACATAGCCTTGCCACTCATACTATTTATGGAAAGCATTTTTTTGTTCAGCACTAAATAATATTAATGCAGTTAGGTAAGTTCATTTTATAGCAATTTGTTAGAACATTTTCAGAGCAAATCTTACATGTAATGCAATTATACTTCTGAGTGTTTTTTGTTTTAAAGCATTACTGTAGAATCATAGAATGGTTAGGGTTGAAAAGGACCTTAAGATCTAGTACTAACCCCTATTAAAGGCATTAGTGACATGTTTAGTGACACACTATTGCTATTCCAAGAAGCCAGCTCCTGTATCTCACAAAGTTATAAATTTATCATCTGGAAAGGAGTGTGCCCTCTAAAGTTCATTCCACCGTAGAGTTTGACCACTGAGAATTCCTACAACAGAGGAACTTAAACTGAACAGCAAAATAAATCCCAAAACAAAATCCAGGTCCTATAAAATAGCATCCTTTTCTGCCACTGTAATTTTAAAATGCCTTTTTCTTTTTTTTCTTCAGAAATATAAAAAGCTAATGTTTCTAAAAAATGCTATGTTTGCTAAGAGGAGTGTAAAAATATGGTCATAAGTGATTAAGAAGTATATCATAAACTAAAACATTAAAAATTCTGGTGCATCTTCATAAGAGTGAAAATTAAATTACTATTTGGTAAACCAAGAAGCTGAACATTCTGAATTTAATCTTGTATAGTTGGATGCAGCTCAAGGTAGTTCAAGTGAAGTCAATCAAATTGCTCTGGACTAACACTGATATTAAGAAATTTTAGTATTAGTCCAAAACAATTCCTGACTAACTTATTATTTCTAGCACCTTGAAATACTCATGGTTCTGAAGAAAATCAAAGCGCACTTAAAGAACACTTAACCATATCTAATTATTTTACGAAACAAATCAGTAAAAGCTATTACTTTAAAATGTTTAAAAGACACAACTGACATATACCTATCCTATATATGCATATTAACATTTATGAACTCATATGTACTTCTGTACTATCTATCTTTAATTTTTCAGGTATCATTAAGTGCAGAATTTAAAAAAAAATAAATCTATTACAAAACTCTATTATCAGTAACTGAAATTTACACAAAAAAAATTGAAATAAAAAGCCATTTGGAATGTTAGCAATCCCACTACTTCCCGTGGAAATACAGAATTGTTTTCTCCTGGCACAACCATTGATTTCCCAGGACCTCAGTATCATTGTAGTTCTGCCAACCCCTTCCAGGAAGCACCTGGGTAGTTCTTTAGGAAACGCTGCCACCTACTGGTAAATTGTAATCATTCAAGAAGTTGCTGCAGTCCAAGTCTCGTATTTCTGAGGCTAATGATGTGTTACTTACTGTTCAGAATTAGTTTTGAGTAGAAGCCTACAACTGGGAAACTTTGATGCCTCTGTTTATCTTATGCTATAAGATGCATTAAGGGATCAGTCAGAGTAAGGCAATTTCAGGTAATAAGGTAGCTCAGAGAGCAGAAGATCCATAAGAAAAAGTCAAACAAGTATTTTCAAATATACTTACCAAATGTATGAACCCAGCTGCTGTCAGCCACGTGCTGATAAATATAGAGCACAGATTCACTAGCTTGATGGAATTACTGAAAATAAACAAAACCCAACAACAAATGGGAACTTAGACTGGAATTTATCACACATTTTCAAGATGTACTTGTATACAACTGCATACTTTAGAATGAAAGTGTCTGATGATGATTTCTGAAGAGAAGCAGGCCCCTAAAAAACTTAATTAAAAGTCTATGCAAAATAGCTATTTTTTTGCCTTTGTAAAGTCACGTTTGCATAATTTAGATAGCTTGAAAGAAAAATTCCCATGCATTTGAGAAACGCTAGCTACAGCTGTACTCATAACCAAACAAATAGAAATAAATAACACTTTTTCACAAAAGAAAATTAGTTGCCTTTCAAAACACTCAGCTTACCATTTTTCATTGCTACACACCTCAGATTTATTTGCATGCAAATATTCTGGTACCCTGGAATACATCTATGCAGGGCCAATAAATTAATCTGAGCAAAGCCAATTAGCATTAGCTGCTGAACACTGCATTTATATAAACAATTGACTGATTTAAAAAAATATATATTTAATTTTTCATATTGTTATTATATATTCATTATGCTTTTGACCCCAGGCCTGTGAAGGCTCTAAAAGTTAACAACAAGAGAATGTTTTTTGTTGCATACTCACCACATGTTAACACTTATATACATGACCACAGGGAAAGACTATTTTCCTACAGTTATAGTAAACAAATTATGAACTACTGCAGCCAATCTGTAAATGTCATGATGCTTCAATTGTCATCATGGATTCACAAATTAAAAAAACTTAGGTATTTTACAGTCCATGTGTAAACTCCCAAGTAATTTTCATATTATTCTACTTGCATAACTCCAATTGATCACTTTGTGGCAAAAAAAAAAACAAACTAAACCAAACAAACCCACAAAAATAAACAAACAGAAAATCCCACCAAACCACAACCAACAAAAAAAAAAAAAACCAACCAAAAGATTGAAACTTAACAGTCAAGCACAACAAACTCTTTTCAGCCCCACTGAGTAGTTATGTTCCCTATTGTAGCCAGAAGTGATTTTGAAGCAAGGATCTCACTCAGTTCAGCAGGAAAATGCCATTCTTAAAAGCCTGTATAAGAAATATAAGTAAAGCCTGCTCCCTTTTTAATTACAAAATTCGTTATGATTCAAAAACCTAAGAAGGATATTCAGTATCTATACAAGGAACTCAAGTCCATGTATTGCTATCTCCAAATAATCTTATCCATTCATGGAACTGTATTGGAAATAGCTGTCTTATGTTTTTTAAAACATTTCTGAGAATGAATAATGGCTCAGAAAAATCACTATTATTCCTAAAGCAATACATCCTGAAAACATAAATATCAGGAAAAATTCACTATCAGTCTTAGCAATAGTAGTTTTGAAGTAGAATTAATATTTCTAACTAATACAAGCACAATACAAATGCATTATTTTTTAAACAAAATTGAGACATGAACCAGCTCCACTGAAATATTTTTAAGAGTTACAGTTAGTCAAGACGGCATCTATGGGTACAAGGGAAGAAATACAATTGGGTAAGACGATGGATACTGTATTCAATGCTGTACTCAAAAACAAGATAACGTACCAGCATTCTGCAATTACTTAGTGCTGACCTACATTAACACATATTCCCCATTCCTGTCTTCCGTTATGTACGGTTGATTTAGGGTTCATATTCTGTTGATGATAATATTCAGTCATAGAATGGGACCCTAACCAATTGGTTTCTAGGTTACACAAAATCATAGAAATCATGCTGATGCAAAACTCTTGTTATGAAAAGCTAAATATCATCCTTCACCTGAACTTAGAACAGGCTCCTGATACAAAAATGGGCCAGTTGGTCTCCATATATTGCTCTATATAGTCAAATGACAGCACTTAAGAACAACTCTTACATGACTTGTTTGGTACATTTTATTTTTGCAGACTTATTAAACATTTTACCTTAGCTCTCCTCTATGAAATACACCCTGGGTTTCTGCCAGAATCTAAATATAGATGAAGGATTAGTCACAAACATTTTCCTCCTCTTTAAGCTCTTTCCAACATCTGTGCAAAATCCCTTACTGTGAGCTCTGCCCAAGCCTCTGCAGTTTTGTTGAAAAATATTAGAAAACAGTGAAGGAGAGAAATTTTCATCTGAACACCACACAATTCATTCTATTTCATAAAACACAGGAACAAAAAACACTGAATAAAATTAATTTAATTTCAAATTAGGAAACAAAGAGGTCCTTGGCAGAGTACGGTCTTTTAATATGTAAAAACTTTTCTTCGCCCTATGGGTTCATTTAAAATATAATTAATAATTTTTCATATACTCTAATAACTGTCTAACACACCCACATGACTTTGCAAGTCTTCTCACTGCCTCTGTTTTTGCATTGTTTAGCTTCTTCCTTTGGATCTTTGGATTCCAGTGTTTGGAATGGCCACCTATTTAATTAAATAGAAATTTATTGAGACTACCAGTTTAGCTGCTCTAACTCTTGCAAAATTACCAAAGGTTGTCCATTAACCAACAGTGCTCAGCACACTGCTCTTTCTTTTTTTTTTTTGCTTTTTGTTTTTTTGTCTGTTTATTGCTTGTTTTATTTTTTTTTTTTTTGTGGGGGAGCTTTTTTGGGTTGCTTTTTGTTTGTTTGTTTGTTTAAGAAAGATTGATAATGCAGAAATAGAAACTCTCAATTAAAAAGTATGTAATTACTGTAACAGAAAACCGTACCAACCACAAGAAGCAAGAGTTCTTGTTTGTGAAGGTACTCAAGGATACACAAATATACAAATTTTTCACTGAAGTTTGCAGCTAAATTCATGCAAGAGAATAAATAAAACACACTGTCAGGTGTAACTAAAACTTTTCTAAAATAAATGGCATTCTGCTAATTTAATTTGACTCATCTATTTTACAAAAAGATGTTTTATGGGCAACGATACAAAAGAGAACAGGCATGTCTTTCTATTGAAGAATAAGGAACAGGGAGAGAAATAAAGAATTGGTTTGAGGCACTGACAGATTTTAAGTGAAATGGTGTTAGTGATGAACTGCTGGGAATTAATCATCTGAGGAAACTGAAACAGTCATATAAGGAAGCTTTGCTTTACAGACTTTCTAATAATCAACATTTTGGATTTACAGATATTTGGACATTCATATAAATAACCATAGAGTTAATGATATCTAATCTAAGAGCAAATTTTGCACTAGAGAAACACTATTTAAATGAATAGGCCAATCTTGAACAAGCTAGCTCTGAATACACTGAACGTGATTAATGCAGCACTCCTTTATTTATGAATCTGGAAGCTTGCAAATCCACCACTCCTGAAGGGACTTCTAGCCTTTATCCAACATCTTTTGAGTTTATGGGGCTTCTCTATTGACTACCATTTCTTTTGGTGGGATTGTCTGTGTTTTCAATGTAAAGCCATTGGGTATCCTGAGCTCCTGCAAAAATGACTCTCCTTTATCATACTCTCAGCTAGTGGACTACAGCTTTGCTGCACATTCTTTGATTTCTTTATTTGACAGGAACTGGATTCCTTACAGTTACACATCTCAAGACAATGCAAGAGTTTTACAGCAAAAAAGAATAGTTTCAAGATTATGGGTTGAAGACATTGCTATGTACAAATTTTAAGGATATATTTCTCAATCACTACTATAAGTAGCAACTAAACTGAGCCACTTGCATATAAAGCCCTCACACATGCATGATTAAACTGGTAGAGAAAGCATAGGATTTTGGAATATGTCATCCAACTGTGAGGCATGGGGAAAGTTCCTTTTTATTTACTTTAAAGTAAACTTTTGGTCAAAGTTGTGCTGCTTCTGCACAACTTTCATGTACTGATAGCCCCAAAAATCGGTGGAAGCCAGAAAGTTACTTGGAGTATTTTAATTATTCTTTGAAAGAAATGATAATGCCAATGAACACAACATAAAGATATCTCAGTGTAAAATTCATTTTTAATATGTTTTTGTTGTGAAAAAAGGATAGGTTAAAAAAAAAAAATGAAAAAGAGCAACAATGATTATTTCTCAAAATACTTTTAAACTGTATTCTGTTGAATGAATTTTGATTTCTGTTTTTCCAAGGTAGCAGAACATGGATTGATTATGTGGAAAGAAGCAACATTTAATCACTGAAGAGTTCTGTATTTCATTCTGCTTTTCATTTATCAGCACAGTCTTGTTCAGATCTTTTAAATATAACAACACACCAAGTAAAATCTACTGATCACACTGCAAAAGATTATGACACTGATAAATCATTCATCAGCAGAAAAAGGTTTAAAGGACAGGTAAGAAGAGTTTTACTCCAGAAAAGAAAATCATATATTACTAGAACAACAAATCTAAGCCATTTATGTTCTGTCACCAATGCAACTAACTCAATATGTAAGAAAAGGTCTTACCTTGTTTTAAGGATATTCAGAAACTGCAAAATTTCTGAAAACTGTATCAGTCTAAGGGCTCTTAAAAATCTTAAACCTGTAGTAAAGGGAAAAAAAAAAATCTAGTAAAGAATAATTCAAATTATAGCATTTCATTTACAATGACAGCAATCATTTAAATCAACATAGGTAGCATACAAAATGCTAAATACCTTTGAAATGCTCTTCCATATTTAATGATGCCAAAATCCTTTCCAGGTCTTTTTCAAGTTTTTTTTAAACTTACTTCCTTAATAGCTGAAGTATCCTACCAGAAAGCCTTAGTTTATCTAGGGTGCCATGGGAGAAGACATGCAGACTAAAAGCTAAGGGCAAAAAACCCTCACTGAGGTTCTATTGGTATTTTCTAGTGTCCTTCTTTTCCAAGCTGCCAAAGACACATACAGATCTGAAACTTCTCAGTCCTCCAAGCTCTCACACTGCTTAGTGAAAAATAAGAGATTATTGGCAAGAGATCTGATAACCTGGATAAAGTAGACTGTGTATATGCCTGATTAAATTGGTAAATCTTGATGACATTAAGTCTTTTATTGCAATAATAGTCCCTATGTACATCCTAATTCAAAAAAACTCAAGCAGGAGAAGAGAGAAACTATACATTCACTCTTAAAAATTACAAAACTACTATAATTCTTTCTATTAGACCATAACTATAGGAATGGATGACGCTTTGGCTATTAAAGAAAAAACTATTTTTACAAATAAACAGCATTTTTGTGCTGATATCAGGTTGCATGAATAACAATTCCCAGACAACCAGAAAGCCACCAAAACGTACAGTGAGCGTGCGCAAAAGAAAATACTGTAGAAGATTAAGGGCTTAAATTATTAAAAGAGACTTATGCTGATACTAAAAAATTTGGCTGCAGATCTTTGGCATATGAATAAAAGTACATTGTGTATTATACACATGCAGAGCTTATAAAATTAAAATACTGCTTTGAGGATAATTTTTACTAGACAGTGCAGCCAGGAGTTATATAAGGTTGTGTAACATGGCATTGCAACTCTTGCAGTTAGGTCCAGGGCAGCTTCTCATACATCCTCTTTATCAACATTTATTTTACACACACTTCCAGTGCTATGAACTACTTTTTATTTCTAGAATCTTAAGGAAAGACTGATCATGGCAAATATATAAACATGGTCAAAACTTTCATCATCTCTGAATCTGAGAGGTTCCCCTCAAGAGCAAAGATGCACGTGGCAAGATGTGTTTAAATCATGGCTTTATTTCCGCAGTATACTTGGAGAGTTGTTAAATAAAATCTTTAGTCATGCTAAGACTCGTAAGTAGCCTTATTAAGTAGCTTTAACAAAGTAGAAATTCACTCCTTTCTATTACATGGATATAAAGTTTCTTTTTAATTACCAACTGTAGGGAACTCTAAAGATTAATTGCAAGTTAAAAAGTGGATTTGGGGATCTAGAAAAAAAGCAGTAAAATTATGCTTAATAATTATAAGCTTCAGAGCCATTTGCAATTAGAGGATGATCATTTTGGATCATAGTGCTGAAACCATGAGACATGATCCTCTGCTCCACTTGCAGTAGTTTTCACAGTTGCTATTCCTGCCCAAAGACATATGGCGGACAGGCATGGAGAGTACCTTTACTAGCAACCCTAAACTTACCATCCAGCTACCTTCCTTACTCCACTCCCTAGGAACTTTCTGAAAAATTACTTCCTTTCTAACACTTTGCATCGCATCCAAAGTTAATAAGATTGTCAAGTTACCCACTGCAATGTTTCAAAAAGAAGCCTGAGAAACATAAAAGTTAGCAACAAAACCCCTATCTCCAAACTCTTAAAATGCTTAAGATATATTTTAGTTGATGAGACATCAAATGATACGGCAGAAAGACTATAGCTTCAATGTATTTTTTGTGAAAGAAGAAAATCATTTGGATTAAGTTCTGCATTTGCTACAATCTACACTATTTTAAAGAAACCCTTTCAGAGAACAGAATTAGAAAAAAAAAAAAAGAAAAATAATAAAAAAATAAAGAAAGAAACCAAACTGTAGAGTCTGCCTGAACAGTTTACTTGAACTACAAATAGAAGTGGTTTGCAATTGTAAAAACTTACAATCACCTTGTCTAGGACATGACTTGTGGGGCTGTGTTTTATCTCTAAAGAAATTATTACACAGAAAGGATAAAAATTTTGATCTTCAGAAACCTTGTTGTATTACCTGCTTTGTGTGGGCTCGAATATGAAGAACAAAAATGAAATTAAAATCAGTTTTCCTTGTCATGATGGCAAATGAATAAAAAATTAAGTATTCAACACTTTTCAAGACCCAAAGAGATCTGTTATTAGATTCCTATCATGTCATTTTATATGGTTTACATAAGATCATAGAATAGTTTGGGGTGGAAGGGATCTTTAAAGGTCATCTAGGCAAGCCCCCGCAGTATTGCAAATTAGTGTAAAAAAGAGAAAAAGTGAAAAGTGATCTGAACAAAACACATAAAAGTACTGGACAATGTCAGGGCTGCAGCTGGTAGGTTTAAGTAACTTTATTTCCAGGCACTTAAGAGTATCTTGGTCTCAGGGGCTGAACATACAAGCGTCAGTTACTTCAGTGTTTTCAAGTGAAACTCACTATGCCTGCAGTGTTTACTCCCTGTAACACTATTAACATGAAGAGTCAGTCAGCCAAAACAACTCTGCATAGTAGGGACAAAATATAGTTTGCAATGCAGCATTGTGCACACCTTCCTGACAGAACTTTGTGCACTCTACTGTCAACATCCACTAATTCTAGCTGAACCCAAACAAGTGAGAAAGGGAAATTCCCATTCTTGAACGGTTATTTCTAAAACTTGACTGTGAAGCAGTTAAGGGGTTCTGTCTTTGAATGAAACTGTTTGTCACTCTAAAACATTTAAAGCATTGGCTGCTTGACCATCTAGAAAATTATGTGCATTTTGGAAGACTGCATCTAATTTAGAGCTTTCAGCCTTATTCTTCAAATAGACTACAAAAAGCCGCTGCTGAGAATAAAGTGTAAGCATAAAACTCAGATGACATGAGTTTGCTCCTAAATGCATCATTTTTTTGTATCACCTTAAACTTACCAAGGGGATGATGAATCAACTGAATAATTCCCAGAGGAAAAGTCCACAGAGCACTTCAATCTAGTACTAGAATTAATGACACGCAGAAGTGGGCTTGCAAACATACACGGATCTGTAAACTGATGACACAGTAATCCTCACAGCAATAACCTTGTTGCAATGAGACTGTTGTCAAACTAAAAATGGCCTAAATTATTCAGATAGCTTACTATGAATCCACATAAGATCAAAATTAAACCAAGTTAAATAGAAAATATTTTGATGGGTATAAATCAAGAGTAATTATTGACACAGCGTCTGTAAAAAATAGCCTGTCAGAAAATTGATCAAAAATAATCAGTAACACAATGCCCTGTGCTATGCTCTCTCATAGTTTTCAAATCAAACATAACTAGCATAACTCACAAGTAGGAAGATATTATCTCTTTCAGGCCCAACAACTCACCAAGACCAGAAATTTTTGATGATTGTTTGTGCATCAAGAATAGCAAGCAAAATTCTGTAATAGGACTACTAACAAAAATTCTCATTTTCCTAAAGCTGTCTCAGCTACATATACAAATATGCACATTTCTTTCCATAGCAATATTTGGTAATGTATTTTATATATGTGGGGGAAATAATTTCTTTTAATATGAAATAACCATAAAACTGGTTTTCATTTAAATTCTATAATTGATAGTTTAGATAGGGTTTCTCATGCATTACAGGAAAGTTTGTTCTAATTTTGCACATTTCATAGAATCCAGCCTGCTTAAGTTATTTGGACACTGTTGAATGGAAAGCTCAAGAAGTGCTTGTTGCTTTGTCTCCATCATGTCACTCATTTTTTTCTTGGCAAGAACTTTTATATTGGAATGTTCCTATGGAATCTGACTGGAATACGATATAATCTATTACAATTTATTTTAAAAAAGTATCAAAAGTTTCAATTTACCTAGGAAATCTCTCTAATCATAGGAAAAATACAGAGATATAACAAAGGGCCTCTTCAGTTTGTCAGTCTTTTGTTTCTAAATGGATGACTAAAGAATGCTTTTGAGCTGGAGTTTATTTCAGCTACCATGTCCAGGAAAAAGATACGAGATTCATAGATTTCTATACCAGAAAAAAACCTACGATCATCAAAGCAAATTCCTTTAACAATATGAGACAAGGAATTTTAGTTAATAGTTTCTGCTTCTAATAGTATAATTTGAGTTGTAGGTATGATGATTCAAATGAATCTCCAAGTATACCACAGGATTACTTTTTTACTGTGAAAATATTTGTTTAGCTATCTGCATTGCTGTAGGGTTAACAGACTATTTTCAAAGTACACTGAAAAGAATGTAAGATATGTGTGTAATATATATTATTTTACATATATATAGTATTTTTATTTATTATACATATTCACATATACATATAAATATTGTATTTTTATATATATGTGTAATATATATTATATATGTGTGTAATACATTCCATTAATTTTACTAGGTAATGTCCTGGATAACATGTGGGGTGTAATATTATTTCAGATTCTGAGTGTCCAACCTGGAATTAAAAAAAACAAACAAACTGAAAACAAAACCCAAACAAACACCAACTCTCCCTCCCTCCAAGAAATGCACCTGATTTTAGGTGGAGATCAAATGCCTACCTCTTGAAAGTCTAAACACTTATGAATGAATATGAAAATTTGACATATCCACTTGCAGGCCAGTTTTGAAGGGTCACTAACAGAGGGCAAATACTGCTCAAAACCATGAAATCAGCCTTAAACATTGCAGAAATTATATCTGCAATAGGAAACATATACTATGTTGAAATACTGACCTAGAATACAACAGAAGCATTTTTATTAATTTCACTATGCACTTGTTCAGTTCTGTGAGGTGCAAATATTCTCCAGCTATTGTTTCCTGACTCTTTACTACGGACTCAGTAAAAGGGATACTCTAGACAAGA